AGAAGCTTGGGTCCATGTGGGTTTCAATAGGTCTTCTGCAGTATTTGTGATGATTGGGATGCAGTTCAACAGATAATTCATCTGGGAAAATCTGCCACTTTTCCAAATTATCAACTAGAAGTCTAGTATTATTCGTTGCTCTTACAACTGGGATCGACAACAAGACTTTTGTCAGGTAGTGTAAATGCTTAACCAAAACTAGTTGACTTTAGAAACTAGCTAATGTTAACAAAGATGAATAAACTCTGTAATAAATGCATTGTTTTGTGTGTGTGTTTACAATAGCACAAGAATAAGAAAATTATATGCTAAAATTTTCTTTTTGTTTTTCTTTCCACAACAAGGTCAATTTGAAAGTCAGTACTTTAACCAGTACTGTTAACAAGAGAATTGCTTTGAAATGCAATATTGCTTTCTCTAGCTTTTCTATTGTCTGAAATATAGCTGACAAATATAGCTATTGCTTAGTAAAACACCTGACACCTTTCTTAATCCTGCACAGAAGTAATTTTCTAAACTTCATAAAGTCCTGTTTATGCTGAGCTCATATAGCATTAATAAAATATTCACTGTGTGACTGCTGATTTATGGTTTCATTTTTTTTCCTGTTAATTAAAATTTGCCTGAAGGCGATAATGCCTACAAGGTGACTGTCACCGTATGCAGGCAAGAGAAAGCAGAGGCTTGGATTCAGGGAAGCAGATTTACCACATTAACAAAACCACTTCTCAATAGTAGAGCAAAGAATTTAAAAGACCACAAACTCAGAACACCATGACCTAGTATCTTAGTAAGTAACCTGAAAAAACAGTCCACTATATCATCTAGTACAATTTAGTACAATACATCTGACTAAATTAGTCAATTATCAGAAAACATATCAGCACACACTAGGAAAGTAAAGCAAATAGGAACTATACATACACAAAAAAACACACAAAATAAGAGTCGACAACTGTTACAGCTGACCAGCTTCATAAAAAAAGCATGATTTTTTTTTACGTTTTTCAAAGAAGTATATACTTTCAGTTGTGTAACTTTTGCCATTTGCGTTCAGCCATTTGTTTTGTAGCGTGTAACTGCTTCATTAAGACAGATGGTGTCATTTCATACCTCATTTATATGTGAAGTCCGTTAAACCACAAGAGCTGCTACTGTACGTGTTAATAATACCAACAGTTAAGGTTTCATAAGAAACAATAAAACTGTGTTATTATCCAACCTTGCTTTTAGGATACAATGGCGAAGAAATAGAAAAATAAATGCTCAAATTTGCATTAGTGCATTCACCTATGTCAAACTGTGAGAGAACTTACTATACAAAAGTAATTTTTTCTGTTGAGACATGCCGGGCCCACTCAGGAAAGTTTGGGAGTCACACTTACTAAATGTGTGAATGTCAAACTAATCCTCATTTCTTTTAAAGAAAATCACACTTTATAAGAAAAAAATGGGTTTGCTTCCAGACATTACAGTAAGGTTACATTTGTTGGCATTAGTACATTGTGAAAAAAGTTCTAAATAGGTGTCACTCATTCATTCATTTTCCTTCAGCTTAGTTCTGTATTTATCAGGGGTTGCCACAGCGGAATGAACCGCCAACTATTCCAGCATATGTTTTACGCAGTGGATGCCCTTCCAGCTGCAACCCATCACTGGGAAACCCATCTGTACACACTCATTTACACTCGTACACTACAGACAATTTAGCTTATTCAATTCACCTGTACCACATGTCTTTGGACTTGTGGGGGAAACCGGAGCACACGGAGGAAACCCATGCGAACCTGGGAGTCTTCAGAAATCACTCTAATATTATTATTAATAATAATAATAATTGTTATTATTATTATTATTATTATTAGTATTAGTATTATTATTATTGGTAATAGTGATAAAAGCAATTATGAATGGATTATTAATTTCATTTGAAACTACATACAATAAGAAAGCAGTTATTTAAATTTTTTTATAAATATTTAACTTTTTTTTTTACATTTAATAAATGTCACCTTGATTAACAGAATAATTTTCCTGAAAAAAAAAACATTACAAAAAAACCTGACCCCAAACTTTTGACCGGTAGTGTACATACATTCATACAACAATCACATAATAGCAACACTCTTCAAGCCAACCAAAGCCAAAGCCAAAGAATTAAAAACATAGCCCCATACATATTGCAGCAGATCGTTCTTAACAACAGCATCATTCACATCAAACAATGATCTGATTTAATACAACTGCAACTGGGATAAATGACTTTTTATAAGCATTTTTTCAGGCTCTAGGAACTTTAAACTTAAATCCTGATGGTAACATTTCAAAAGCTGATTGAAGGGCATGCGTATTATCTTTAAAAATTGTAAAGATCTGCAGCAAATGTTGTTTGTAACCAGTTTTCTTATTTGCCTGATTGATCATTTGCAATAATTTCTTCTTCTGTTTAAGTGTTGTGTTACCAAACCATGAAACAATACTACAGTATATGTGAGAACACCCTCTATTTATGATCTATATGCCGTGTTTAAAGTCTGTGTACTAACATCCAAAATTTTCAACTTGCGGAGGAGACTGAGCTGACTAGCCTTCTTATAAACAGCCTCTACTTTACAATCAAAATTCAGTTTATTGTCATTAATTGTGCCAAAATACTTCAAATTTAAGACCTGCACTACTATTTCTATTTATGGTGACTGGTTTATAAAATCTAGTATCTGCTACTTTTCTTTGACTCCCCAGACATAGTTCTTTTGTTTTTCGAATATTAAGATGTAATGAACATTTGCCTAGCCAATCTGTGATGCTATTAATACATTTGAAATATAAGGAGCTATTCATTTCTTCCTGACAGGAAACCAACGCCAGATCATGGGCATATTTTTTTAAGAGTGAGATTATCATCATTTTACCCTCATGTGGTTCCATACCTCCATGAGTTTTCTTTTTTCTGTTGAACACATAAGAAGTTAGAAAATTGTTGCAATTGACTTGTTTTTAACATGTTTCAAAATTACTTACTGTGTGTTCAACAAAAAAAGAAACTCAAACAGGTTTGTAACAGGCGAAGGGTGAGTAAATGATGACAGCATTTTCAGTTTTGGGTGAACTCTTGGTGAAGTTTGTTCCTTGCCACTGTAGCCACTGGCTTGCTTGGTTTGGGACTTGTGGAGCTGCACATTGATGTTTTTTAGCAGTGAAAATTAAACCACACTGAACTGAACTAAACTGAACTTAAAAATCTAAAAACAGGACTGACATGTCAAGACTTCTATGTTAAACTGCTTTGACACAATCTACATTGTAAATGCGCGATAGCAATAAACATTGAATTAAATTGAACTATCCTTTTCAGTCATGGGATATTTAATAGCATCAGACATTTACAGGCCCGTAGGGAGTTTGGTGAAAGGGGTGGTTCTTTGTTCTCAAAAGTAAATCTTTTTGCAGTTATGCACCTCATTTTCTATTTAATTAGGATGTTTAATACTGTAATTTAGGGTGATTTTTTTTTGCTGGATTAGCTTATCTGATAGTCACACTTTTTGATGTACCAAAAACATTTTCTAAAGATTTAGAATAAAAAAATATGAAAAATAGGCTACTTATTTTTAAGCTACTTTATGATGTATCACTAGGGGGGAAAATAGCAATCTGTTAAAAGTTTTAAATTTAAAACTGTGGCCTCAGAATTTTTCCATAAGTATATTAAAAATAAAAATTAAAAAATATTAAAAATGTAGAGCTTCACCATTTTTCTAGCCTCTCTTGTAAAAAGGTGCACTTGGAAAGTCGTGGATAACAACAATAGCCTAATTAGTATTAATATATTAATAGCTTTGGTGCTTCAAATCTTTTTATTGATCATTGTTTCTTTGAAGAATAAGGTCCAAGATTTAGAATAAAAGTTTCTCATAAAATGTTTTCTCTATAACAACAATACAGTGAAAGTTAACTTAACTTGCAACAGATTCTGCTTGGTAATAAAGCCTTTTTTGATGTATTATTTTGATAATTTATGATGGCATAACAGTCAAAAAAAGGACAAATTAGCTCATGTATGGAACAATACTGGACCTCTGTACGTGGGGAGGGGGGGGTCTTCTGATCCATCGGAACCCCCCCCTGGCTACTGGCCTGATTTATGATCTACTCTATAGACCATTTCAATGTGGTCATGTCATTGACCCATGAACATTTCCTGTTTGTTATCAAACTATTTCATAACTGTAACACCACGCAATTCAATCAACTTAATATCAAAACAACTTTCATAACATTATTTATTAATATGTGGCTCTTTTTGGATTCTCTGAATATATTAAAAAAAATAAAAACGTAAAACAGGAAATACATTCGGGCCATTTTTTGTTTTTTTTGTTTTTGTTTACATCCCTCAAAATAGTCTATTAAATTAAATCTGATCCAAACTGTGTTTGTAGTGCACTATATTTTTAAAAATAAAATTTAAGTCCCTTATCTGATAATAAATAATAAAAATCTAAGAACTGTTGTGGAAATGTATTGTGGGAATCCTGATGTGATGAACAATACATGTCTCTCTGCCTATTCGAACTTCTAAGGGGAAACAACATAATGTGATCACCACAAATCATATAGTTAAAAGTGATTGCAAAAATGTCTGAGAAAAGAGAAGTTAGTTTATAATAAGAATAGCAAATCATACTATATGGAACCATACAGTGTGTAGTGTGACACGTGAGTGAAAATGGTGAGTATTATAATAATGCACTGTAAACCTCTTACTTACTCTACTACTACATTTGTACACAAAAGAGGAAGCAGCAGCACCACACATTGACAGATCAGTCAACACGTTTAATGTCAACTGCTGTCTAAACCAATAACCCATAACCCAACTAAAGATGACAAGACAATATTCAGTTTTCGAATTAGAAAATGAAGAGATGTTGCTGTTAAACTTGATATAACACGAAAGAAATGTGAAGCTGAATCGATTTCATCTTCATTCAAAAAAAGCACACACTCGGGTCACTTTCTGATCACCTTGTGTTTTAAAATCACTTCACTCTTACCAGGTCACTGGCGTTTTTAGCAAGCTCGTCCTCGCTGGATGCTGCCGAGTCCACCACCAGCTTCTCGAAGCACGACGAGCCCAAGGACGAGCTCTTCTGCTGGGACATCGCCAGATGGGAGACCAGTAGCTTCGGACTCCCATGCGCGGATACGGAAATCTCCGGTTTACTGACTGACGCTCCATCAGTAACGGCCAGCGGTGAGATCCCGAGCCCTTTAGCGGCGCCGGAATCCGGCTCTTCGCACAGAGTTCTGGTCCCTGCGAAAGCCGGAGGAGTTGAGCAGCACAGATTGGGCTGCGAGGACGAGAAGACCCGGTCCAGGACCTGTTTCTTCTTTCTTTTAAACATCCACAAGCCGCTTTCTTTTTTAGCATCCGCGCTGCGTCTTTCGGATCCCAGTTTGGGGCTCAAAAACGGTTTGGTCTTCTCTTGGAAATTCCTCCACATTCTCCTCTGGTAGGACGATGACTGCGGGTCTTTGGCGCTTTCATCCTTGTGTTTCTCCTCCATAGTTGCCGTCCAGCAGCAGCAGCGGCGGCAGCAGGCTGTCAGCGCGCGGAGCGCCAGAGACACTGAAGCGCGCGGGCGAGCGCACAGGAGCGCGTGCTCTTGATCACCGATGACACTCAGGCACTTAAAACACATTCACTTTATCTGGATATATGTGTCGACACTTGTGACACAATCTAAAGTGTTTTCACAGCTTCTTAACATTTAAGTCTGCAGAGATACCTTATTATCTGTCCAATTGTTTGTTTGTTTTAATAAAAGAGCTGTGTGGTCAGATCTGAAGAGTAGTCACGGACGAGGATTACCTGAGAAAACGTGAATGTGTATCTGATTCACTCTTTAATGACTTAATGACCTGACAGTAACCCAAGAAAAAGCCAGTACACCAATATATAATTGCAGAGTTGAAAGATACGCCTCCCTCTGGTGAAAACCCGTCATTATAAGGAATTTGGTGAGTGTATGGATGACATTATATTACATAATGTGTAATAGTCCTATACAATCCATTTGAGATACTAACTTGTGCGTGTATTGCTGTAAACGTGCCGCTAATAATAGCAGATACAGCACTGGAAGGATTTGTCGTGACTAGGCAAAAAAGAATTCAGCATTACACATACAAACAGACAACGTCATCAGTGTGTTACAAATACACTTACATGATGCTGTAGCCTTAACATTACAGAAATACAAATATATACATTTTAATGGAAGAAAAAATATGAAAACGGGGAAAAAATAAAAATAAAAAAATAAAATAACATTATTAAATAATTTTGGGCGACACAGTGGCGTAGGTAGTAGGTAGTGTTGTCGCCTCATAGCAAGAAGGTCGCTGGTTCAAGCCTTGGCTGGGTCAGTTAACGTTTCTGTGTGGAGTTTGCATGTTCTCCCTGCGTTCGTGTGGGTTTCCTCCGGATGCTCTTTCCCCCAAAGTCCAAAGATATGCGGTACAAGTGAATTGGGTAGGCTAAATTGTCCATAGTGTATGAGTGTAAATGAGTGTGTATGGATGTTTCCCAGAGATGGGTTGCAGTTGGAAGGGCATCCGCTGCGTAAAACATATGGTGGATAAGTTGGTGGTCCATTCCTCTGTGGTGACCCCAGATTAATAAAGGGACTAAGCCGAAAAGAAAATGAATGAATGAATTAAATAATTTTAACATGATTTTTTTCTTATAGTCTACTCTGTAAGACAACTTAAGAGTTAATAAGTTGGCAGGCTTAAACTGTATAAATTTCATATTCGCTTTTGTTAATATTCCTAACAGCTGCCACACAAATAGAATTTCTATTGATTTAACAGGAAAGGAAGAGCCAAGACCACCCGCGAGCAAACCCACTCATGTGTCTGTTTAACCCTTAAAGACCGAGACAGCCGCCCGCGGCTAAAAATAAGTATTGCTCTTAAATGTTTAATAACTTTTGATCCGCTGATCCGATTCATACAATTCAAAGATTGGCATAAAGAAGAGAATCTCAGCTTTCCAGTGCTGTATCACATTACATTCGCGGACTTTCAGAGGCTCCGGAATCAGTGCGGTTACGTCATCAAAATTTGTCAACGCTGATTTGACAAAGAAACGCTCGTCACTGTGTCTCAGGACAAACCAGACATCATACATTGATGCATTGACCCTCCTCCATGCCCAGATTGGTTCAAACTCGCTATATCACAACCAATAAGCATAGGTTTCACTTTTGTTTCTGGACCAACAAGCTTTTTGAACAACACGGAATGAGAAATAGCCATACATTTATGCGCGGCTAAATAAAACGCAAAAAAAAAGTTTTGCATGAAATAATTCTCATACTAAGTACTTTTGCATGCACAGCAGCACAGAAAGATGACAAAACAGTGACACAGCAAAGACGAACTGCTGCTCTTGCTGTTTTCAAAAGACGCAAATGAAGGTGCAGCTGTTTGTCTGCATTGCAGACAACCATATCCAAATCCAAATCCACAGACAACCATATCCATGCTGGCACATAAAACCTAAAGATGTTCCATATTGAATCTAGTTTAGTTATATAACTATTTATAGTATAGTAAATATTTATATCTATTTTTTACTGAGGATTTGCACCATGTTTATTTGGACTTTGACACATTATTTATTATTTTCTTATTTTTTTATTTGTTCATTGTAAGTGGTGTTGTTTATAGTAACTGAAAATATATTATTTGGAAAAAGTGAAATTTGCTCCACTGTTCTATTATTTTTTAACATTTTTTTCTGTTTAGTTCATTCCCAGAACTTTTGAGCAAATACATTGTCAGTAAATAAATGCATTTTTTTCCCCCATAAAAAAACGCCTTGGAATAACATTGAAATAAATTGCTATAACTTGCTCAGGGAATTGTGGATGTAGACTAAATTTATTTTGGAAGTATAAAACATCATGGCATGTATTTCTAAAGAAAGAAAAACAAACTTCATAAGGTTTTGTTTGAAATAACTAGAAAATGCCACTTTTTTTAAAAATCGTTTCTGGAAAATTCTGGAATATTTTTGTTTTTGTTAATGTTTTTGGACCAAAAAATATTTTAGACTGGACCTTTAAATGATACAGATTGAAACTTCAGGTTCTCCTGTTTAAAATGATATATGACACTTGAGGCTGACTGCTAAAATAAAAATAAAACTGCTTTTTAAAAAAATAATAATATAGGCCCATTAGGTGCCCACAAAATACCTCTAGGTCTTTAAGGGTTAAAGCTCTTAGAATTTCACAATTTATTTAATTATATAAGGTTGTAACAGTTGTTGTAAAGACATCACAATAAACTCACACACATTTTTTGAAAATGTGCATGTTATTGCTGTCATAGTATGCACATTAAACATTATAATATATATAAATAATTTTCATTTAAAAGTGTAAAAATCCTGTAAAAGGTGTTAAAGTTTTTGATTACAACTAGGTTTATAGTTGGGTCCGTGGACAGAAAAAATTTATCAGTATACTGTAAAAACAAAAAAAAATATGTGACAAAAGTCATGATAAATGTTTTTATTATACTTATTTTAATACGTTAATCAAGTTTCAACTAAATGTTATGCAAAGATTTTTTTAATACTTAATAAATTAACTTAATTAACTTGACTTTGTCCGTTTAATTGATCAACTAAATAATGTAAGGCAGCAAGAACAGTTTTTTTTCATGGACTGAAAACCAACAGAAATTGAAGAAACTGCTGTTGTTAGTCTGGGAAGATGAAGTTCAGGGTTGTGTGAACTGGTTGATAACATTTTCTAGGAGACCACAGCCTGTCATTTAGACTGAACAAATTATTGATAGTTGTGGAAATATTGTCAAACTTATCTGAATTATTTTTGTTAATTGTAATCAATTGATATATCTTTCTATCCATGCTATCTATCCATGCTATCTTTTCTATCCATGCTATCTGCCATTATGAAGATGAATTTGTTCTGACAGCGATTAAACACCAATAACTGATCTATTGTAGACAGAGAGAATTTCTATAGTGTTTAAACTTTGATAATATGAGACATTTTGCAGGTGTATATCTTTTGTTTCAACTGGTATTGATTAGAATATCAGCATGCACATTAAAACATTACTTTACAAGTTTCTCTAAAGAGACCATGACCACTTTGCTTTGAAACATGAGAATACTGAGTACTATTGCATAATAGATGTGTTACAATTTACAGAATGGAAATCATTAGTGGCACTCTGGACTGAAAATCTCTTGAGAATGAATAAAAAGTTTAAAATGTCTGACCTCTTCAGTTTCTCAATTCTTAAATATGTTCTAATCAAATTATAGCATATTTATAGGCCATCATCCTCCTGAAATCAAATCATCCTTTGCTTAGTGAGTTAATAATAATAATAATATATATATATATATATATATATATATAGACAAGTAGATCAAAGTTTTAATACTGTATATATAAGTTATAATACTGTAAATTCAAATAGTCTAAGCTGTCAAGTAAATGACTAACCTCTGTTAGAGCATTACGTGGGGTAACTAAGAGATCAGAATAAACAAACATATCACAGACTACAGAGAAACAGCTCACAAGTAAGTACCGTTTGATTTTGTAATGAATTACATTTATTTTTATATATGTAGCGCATAATAAATTAGATCAGCAGTTTGTGAAATACTTGGGTCAGGTTCTGATACCAGCTCATCTGCCAAATTTAGTCCCTTAAACCCAATGTTTCCTAAAGAGGAGGTCAGGGGTCACTTGGTGATTTCCAAAATTCAAATTAATTTAGTTAAACTATTAGAATTGCCATATTTTAACCATAGCCCACAAAAGATAAAATAGTAGCTTTTAATAGGAAAAAACAACAACATGCAAATGAAAAGCCATCAGCCTTTAAATTATTTTATTTTCATGGGATCAGTGTGTTTACGTCAGATTAACAACACAGCAATAGGCTCAGCTGCAGCAGATTGATTTTATAGCACCAGGTTAAACTCCTTGACACCTTTATGGCAATCCAATACATTAAAAAATAAACACAGGCCACAACTGAACATTGAGAATGATCTCTGATTGGATGTCTCCAAAATGAAACCAAGAATAGACTTGTGCTGAACAACATTGTGTCCACCAGTCTGTTTAGTAGAGTTTAATATTAAATTAAACAAATGAATAAATAACTATAAAAATGAAATGGATGTTGGACTGTTGCACTTTTTTTGTGTTGTTAATATGCTTGTGTTTATCAAAGCCTATTGTTGTATGAGCAACATTTGCAATTTTCTAACCACCTAAGAGAAATTTGGGGGTTGGAAGTCACTGGCATTGTTATTATAGGGGTTGCGTGCTGAAAAGTTTGGGATTTCCTGACTTAAACCACCTTTCTAACTTCACTGATGCTCAGTTTAAAATACAGAAGTTCTGTCTTGACTATGTCTACAAGGCCTAAATAAACTGAGTTGCTGCAATGGGATTAACTTATTAGATAATTTGCATTAATGAGTCGTTGAGTTGTACACTGTTAATGATTTTTGCACTGTTAATGAATTTAACTGTAATATGAACTGTATTTTACTGTAGGATATTTATGC